TTTTTTTTTTTTTTTGCTTTTATTCCTTTACAAAGTAGTTTTTTTTTTATTCTTTCACGAAGTAGTTTTTTAAGTATTGGACTTTGCTACTTCTTCTTTTTTGGTAAATTATGTTACATTTCCATTTTGCTTTGCAACTCATTTTTGCGGACTTTTCTTAACTGAACGCACTTCAATCCTTGCGAAACAATATTCTCAAAGTTTAATAAATAAATTTTCTAAGAAGATTAAAAGATAGACTAGCGTTTTTTTTTTTTCGAAAGATCGAGTGATTTTTAAACAATTATTCTGAGAAGAAAGTATTTTTCTAAATAAACTATTTCGAATTCCTCAAGTTCGTGCTTTTGAAAGAAGATACTGTTTGCTACTGTTTTTTTAAAATATACTTTTCGATACAATTTAGAAGGTAAAGAATTAAAAATGTACAGATGTTCTCTATTGGTTAGCGAGTTTATATTTGATATTTACAGTGAAACTATATTTTCAGTGTCTTATTGATATTTACATCCAATAGTGAGATGTGTTGTGAAAATAAAATCAAGAAATTCACTATATATTACAAAAGGTATATTTAGTCTTATTAATACTTCTTTATTCAATATTTCAGTTATGCAAACATTTTCAGCGTTTGTATTTTGCCAAAATATCCTGAAGACTATTCAATTAATAATATATAACGCGACTAGGAAGTGTAAAGAATTATCCTCAATTATTATTATTACCTCATTATTAAACGATATACTTGAAAGTCACAATAAATTGGTAGAGCTTACTTTTTGACGTTTATATCTCTTTCGTATCGATAAATTCCAAAAACATAGAGCCACAAATATCTAATATAAACCTAGTTCAATTCCTCCGTCTCGGTATCATAATCACCCAATTACACAGCTTTATTTCTCCTCTAGCCTCTATTCATCACACCTTAAATTAATCTCATCTTTACCAACAGGTCCTACAAATCCTGAAATTCATCTTTTGTATGCCTATTATTGAAAATCCTCCCAAATCCAGACGATAATCTTAGCCTCTATCTTTCAGATCTCGAAATTATCTTTGTTTCTTTCACTTAATCATCCAGTCTCGCGACTGGATCTCTTCAGATCTCCTTGTTCAGAATGATTCCACAGGGTTG